AAAAAGGCTGTTTGACGGAGAACTAAATTACCCATCAATTAACCTTCTTTCATCCCTTAATCTCTGTAAAAAATGGAAGAAACTGTCATGAAAATCACAGCGCAGTAAGAACAATAATTGTTTTGCGGCGCACAATGACTCCCGGTAATTAAAAATTCACCTCCCCTCCTAATTGAGGTTAAGAAATGAAAAGTNAATTAAATTCCCCATCAATTAACTCTCTTTCATCCCTTAATCTCTGTAACAAAAAAATATAAAATGCCATGAAAGTCAGGGGCCAGTGAGAAAAATAATAGTTTCGCGGCGTACAGTGACTCCCGCGAATTAAAAATTCACCTCTCCCCTCCTAATTGAGATTAAGGGATGAAAAAATGGCAGTTCGACGGAGAATTAAATTCCCCATCAATTAACTCTCTTTCATCCCTTAATCTCTGTAACAAAAAAATATAAAATGCCATGAAAGTCAGGGGCCAGTGAGAAAAATAATAGTTTCGCGGCGTACAGTGACTCCCGGTAATTAAAAATTCACCTCTCCCCTCCTAATTGAGATTAAGGGATGAAAAAAGGGCAGTTATTATTCAGTTATATTTTCCCTGTTTTTACCATTGTCTTCTGCAGGTATCCGCCTAATTATTGGATTTCTTTGAATATTATTCGGGGATTGGTGGTGACGTTTCTCCTATCCCTTCATGGAGCTCGTTGATTGGTGATTAGGTGACATTAGGCCTCCTCATTTTCCGTTTGGACTTGCGTAGTTTTTCCAAATTTTGTGAAGGGAATAGTCAACCATCTGCTTCCCCTAATTGACGTATCATAACTTGTGGTTATTTTTAGGCGTTTTTCCCCTAATTGAGTCATAGCATCACACTTCCGCTATATGGTCACTGTCCAGCTTAGTCACCCGCGAAACCTCTTAAACGGTGAGGTTCCGGGTTAGCCCCAAAACGTAGGTTTCACCCCATTCACATTCTCATACATTTTCAGAGGTGTTATTGATTTTTCTATTGCCAACCGGTAATGAGATTCACAGACATCTCATGCCTTTCTAATTTGTTAAATTGTAATATTTGATAGTTTCCACAATTTTAAAACAAGAAAATATAAATTCATTCATTCGTTATTTAATTCTACATGGATAATTTTTATGGGTGTCGTCTCTACATTTGATTGGGTTACCCTTTCCAATCTATTATTTCACCTTCTCTATTCCTACAAGGAACCTTTGGAATCTTTATATTGACTCTCTTTACAGATATGCGTTTATAAAAATTATGAAATAATGGTTATTCCATAGAGAAAATTATTTAGGAAAAATGGATTATAAAGCATTTTTCGACGGATATCACATGGAAAACATTTTTTTTCCCATCTGATCTTCACGCGGCTCTGGGGGATGAACGGTTGGGAATAGAGATAAAATGCCCCAAACATTTTTTGTGTAGAATTTTGAGTTCTACAACTTTATATATCACATTTTTGAACGTACAGCGCGTTATTCACGAGTTATTTTGAAAAAACGGTTTTCAGGGGTAGTTTTTTGGCTTTTTCAACCCCCGCACAAACTTTGTGAACCTTAAACATCCGTCATTAGTTTCATACGCCCAAATCACAAATTGTATCAAAAATGGAGCCTGATTAGCAAACATTCGTATGTTAGACCTTCGTTCATTGGACTACTCCGGACTCACTCGACGCCGGAGAGCCGTTTGGGGTTTCTCCGCGCTTTTGAAAATTCATTCCTCCGCTCCTACTTGAGATTAAGTAATGAAACCGCTGTCATTTATTGAGAATTTAATTCTCTATCGATCGGCATCGGTTTCATTCCTTCATCTTAATTAGGGTGGGAGAAATTAATTTTCCAATCGGGAGAGCCCCTCCGGGCTCACTCGACGTCGGAAAGCCGTTCGGGGTTTCTTCGCGCTTTTGAAAATTCATTCCTCCGTTCCTAACTGAGATCCCCTTTAAAAAAAAAAGCATGTAACGTTTTTTGTCACCGTTTTTTGCGGCATTGCTTAGTTAAGAGATGACACCGATGTCATTTATTAAAAATATAATTCTCAATCGGTAAGCTTTGGTTTCATTACTTCATCTCAATTAGGGAGGGGAGAAATTAATTTTTGAATGAGAAGAACTTGTTCGGAGTTACTGCGCGTTTTGAAAATTCATTCCTCCTATCCTAATAGAGACTAAGGGAATAAAACCACTGTCATTTATTGAGAATATTATTCTCGATCGATAGATGTTGCGTTCATCGAAAAATTTCAATGTAAAAAGCAATGCAAAAAAAATATTCGTGTTCGTATTTTTGTTTTAATGGGAAAGCAGCAATGTACAGTATACTGGCGCCCCAAAGGGCCCACACGGCTGAAACTGGTATCGACGCCCCTGAAAAAGGCACATGTGTTTTTAATTTTGAGGGACTGGCCGTGAGCGGGCCCATAAACCCCATAACGAGTTATGATCGTTTTAACAGCACTTTTTTTGAGAAATTTTCTTGATTTTTTTTTAAATCAACGGAGATTGTTTATTGAAAAACTATTGACCGAATGTGCTTTACATTGAACTCAAAATGCATTGTTTGTTTTTCAGGTCGGCTCGGCAATTCTACAACGAAATAGCCGCAGTCGACATTTCTATAAATAAAATGAATAATTATCGCAATTTCGATCTTTTTCTTCCCTGGTTGGCTTCTCAAGGGTTATACAAATCTCTGAAAAAATTGACGATTTAAAAAAAAAATTTCTTACGTTTGCTAGCGATTCAAAGTTTGCCGACTTTTACGGACCCTGAAAATCGGGGGGGTTTTCGGCTTCTCATGGTGATTATAAATAAACTAATCAAATCAAAAACTTGAAACTCCGTATTGGGCAAGCGAAATACTTATATTACACAGTGTATTTGGTCTCATATTTTTACAATTTTTTTTCACTGAGTTATAGACGTTTATTTCGAGTAGTCTCTACTTTTGACACCGACAGTAGAAATCTTTCAAAAGAAAACAATGTTTTTTTCGACAATTCAATTTTCATAAACAGAACAAAAATGAATAAAAAAAGGGGTAACACTGGGCGTTAGAAGGCACCGCAAAATTTACATGTCTGTTACAGAACCAATTTTACTTTTATCATTTTTCCAAAATTACTGTAGATACTCTGATCCATCCTGAAGCGAATGATTTCAAGTTTTTGTTAATCCGACGATTTGTATACTCGTTTTTAATGCATATATTGCAGTCCGCTATGACATGATCTACGGATATTAGGCAAAAGATGCTTGCTTGTAAAAATAGGGAAAAATTCAAATATTAAAATTCAATACTTGTCATTATCGAAGAAAAATTCAGAAAAATTATTATTAATTTTTCTTCTCTTACCAGAAAATAAACGAGACCGCCCGCTAGGAAGTATTCATCGCTGTGATCATGAGGGACCCACAATACCTTTTTTTTGCATGGAGGACTACATATATGTGTCTCGGAAAACTGGGTGCAGGGTCCTCCATGTAAAAGAAAGGGTACTGAGGCCCACAGCGATGAATGCTTCTCACCGGACGGTCCCTTTGATTTTCCGGTAAGAGAAGAAAAATTAATAATAATTCTTCTGATTTTTCTTTAATAACGAGAAGTATTGAATTTCGATAATTGAATTTTTCCCTATTTTTACATGCAAGCATCATTTGCCTATTGTCAGTAGATCATGTCATAGCGAACTGCCCTATTTGTATTAAAAACGAGTCAACAAATCGTCAGATTAACAAAAGCGTGAAATCATTCGCTTCAGGAACGATCAGAGTATCTACAGTAATTTTGGCACGATAAAAGTAAAATTGGTTCTGTAACGGACATGTAAACTTTGCAGTGCCTTCTACCACCCAATTTTAACCCATTTTCACTCATTTTTCTTCAGTTTATGAAAATTAATTTCTCGAAAAAAATTTTGTTTCTTCTGGAATGATTTCTAGATAATTATTCTTTCGAGAACTTTTTGGTTTCATTCTCGGAGATTTTTTTGACGTGGATACGTCTATGTTTTCGATAGGGGGGTCATTCCGAACGTGCCTACTGACTGCCAGCGCCCCTGGTGGCCGGCGCCCAAACTAACAGGCGTCTTTCTCTCTCTATATATATACATATAATATCGACACTGCATGCGTAGTCAGCTGTTGTCAACATTGTATTTCTCGTCTGTTGTTTACGCTGAATATTCCGTGATGCCGTACCGATGTAAAATTCCCAATTGTGCAAAAGAATCGAATCACACATTTTTTTCTTCTCCCAATCTATTGATTCTCTCCAATGACACGCACATTTTAATTACTCATTACGACAGCAGAGGACTGCGGTTTCCCCTCCGTCACATAGACGTATCCACGTAAAATCACGGCTGTACAAAGCTACAGCTACCTCAAATTTTTTTTACGAGTTATCGCTATCCAAAGTGCGTAGCCTTAAATTTTGAATCCGACAATAGGCTATAATTGATCTGAAGGGTAAATTCTACACTCAGCTTTATTTGCTGAACAAGTCTTGCTGCACCCGGACCTCAGAATATTGTAGACGTAACAAGAATAAACATGAATTATCAATAGAGTCAGATTCAACCGAATTCATCAAAAATGCCTCAATTTCCAGAAACGAATTCCGAGTGGTTGGTTTCGAGGTAGAAGCTCGATCAGTCGATTACACCCAACTAGAGTTCGAAGGCAACAACTGTCAGCCCCCAGGTCAAATCGGCCCCCAGTATGTCAACCTTAAGGGCACAAGACTCCTCTTCTTCTACTCTGTTGAGTGGACAGAGTCCGACGTCAGTTGGGCTAGCAGATGGGACATTTACCTAGGCATGAGTGACGTCGAGATTCACTGGTTCTCGATCATAAACTCAGTGGCCGTGGTTGTATTTTTATCAGGCATCCTCACGATGATCATGGTGAGGACTTTGCGAAGGGACATTGCTCGTTACAATGCTGGCGAGAGTGATTCCCTAGCTGGATTGGACGAGTCCATCGAGGAGACTGGCTGGAAATTGGTGCATGGAGATGTCTTTCGACCCCCCACCAACTCCAGGCTATTTTCAGCTGTCATTGGGAGTGGAATACAGATATTTTTCATGGCTTTGATTACAATATTTTTCGCCATGTTGGGAATGCTCTCCCCTGCGAGCAGAGGAGCTCTAGCTACATGTGCTATTTTCCTGTATGTTTTCTCAGGACTTGTGGCTGGATACTTCTCAGCCAGACTCTACAAGACGATGAGGGGGAGAGAGTGGAAAAGGGCAGCTTTTCTCACAGCAACTCTGTACCCCGGGATTGTCTTCACCACTTGCTTCTTCTTGAACTTCTTCATCTGGGGAAAACACAGTTCTGGGGCTGTTCCATTCACAACAATGCTAGCACTTCTTTGTTTGTGGTTTGGAATATCCTTGCCACTGATTTATCTGGGGTACTTCTTTGGGTACAGGAAACAACCCTTCACACATCCTGTTAGGACTAATCAAATACCCAGGCAGGTGCCTGATCAACTGTGGTACATGAATCCAATATTATGGTAAGTAGCAATAATGTTCATGAAGTTGCAGTTTTTTTTTTCATTTTCGTTTCTTATTGTTGAAGGCTTAGAAATATACACGATTTATTAACACTATCAGTAATTTTCTCTTAATCTGAATTTTTACATTTTTTTTTCTCGTCTAAAGTTCAGCATGCGAAGCGGTAAAACAGTTTAAATTGTTTTTGACTATTAGCCAGTTTTCAATGAAAACCTCGCAATATAAGGAAGATAAAAAAATTTTTGTCATCGCCTTTTTTGTAGCCCTCAATTCGCTCTACAAAAAAGCTCTGTTTGGAGGGAAAACTGAATTTAGGGTGGATTGGGAAAGGGGTAGTGGAAATGCCGGTGAAAAACGAACGCACTGAGTCTATAAAAAATATACTGATTTATTCGGTGGAATCGAACCACCTTAGCGTCACTTGTTACACTCTATTAATTGTCCCTTAAATTGATTCAAACTGTTCTGAATTTAACACTGGAGATTTTCTGAACAATATACTGAATAATAGGAGACTGTACTGAGAATTTAAATAGGAGATGTACTGAGAAAACAAAATGTCTCGAACGGGTGATGTACTGACGCTGTTCGGACAACCGAAAGTAGCTTTAGAAAAACGATATACTGCTCGCTCAACTCATTTGCTACGACTCTCTACGACTGACTGCCTGTAACTAACTCTGAGATTCGGTGATTGACTAGGCCTGACCGTTGACCCGAGGTTTCCCGAAGATTTTTGTAAGTGGCCGATCTGTGGTCAACCGTTGATATACTGAATTTTGACTGCGTTTCAAACAAGCTCATTGCGAAAATTTCGTTATTTCCCTTAGGACCGGCGCACAATCAAAAAGAACAGGGAATTGAGAACAAACATTAGGAACAAGAAATAAAGAATAAATTTCAACATTATGTAATTAATGTTTCAACGCACAATAGAGGAATAGGGAATATAACCAAGGAACAAGTGTTGGAATATAGATATAAAATATTGTTTACCTGCCTCTTCCTCATGGCATTGGATCATACATACCCGAAAAAATTTAGTGAAGTACAAAATAAAATGCAGGCGGATGAGGATAAAAAGCAAGATGTTGATGTCAATCGACAGTGTAAAGAGGGGGATGAGTTATTGATTGAGTTGATTCGATCCTATCCGCATATATGGGATAAAAAAATCCCAGATCTCGATTTATGATTTGATTCGTTGCTCCACATTCATGAACAGAATTCACAATTTGATTGTTTATGTCGCGCCGTGCAATAAGTCGAGTTTATCGCACGCTGCGCTTCGCGCAGCCTGCTCAAAACTCGACTTCTGCACGACTTGACATAAAATATTATAGAGCACTCGGTAATAAATTTCGTTTTCAACGAATGTGTAGTTTACAGGCCGAGCCGAAGGCGAGGTCTGTACACACATTCGTTGAAAACGAAATTTGTGCCCTTGTACTCTAATGTACTATTATTTGGCAGTGATGCAATATTTGAATGTTTATTTGCGAGTGGCGAACAGAATGAATTTTATTGCGCATGTCATCTGTGTTTATATTTTTTGATTGTGCGCCGGCCCTTAGGTTCGGAAATTATTAAACTGATAATTTCCCTGTAGCCTGTCAATTGTTTTCTACGAATGTGACAGATATTCCTCACATTTTGGTGAAATGTATCCCGTAACCCCGAACACTGCACCCTGATCGGCCAAAATCAGAATTGAAGAAATTGTTCTGCGAATACCCCTTGACCTTCAAAATTCATCGGCTATTTCCCTCAAGTTTTCCTGCATATCAACGATCGGGATCAGTTTTGCAGACTAAAATCCTGAGCGCGCAGCGCGAGGGATTTTACTGCAAAACTGATCCCTCTCGTTGCTATGCAACAAAACATTCGGGAAATATCCGATAATTTTGAAGGTCTTGGGGTATTATAGCCGACAATTTTCAGCCTCCTTGGTTTACCCAATCAGAGTGCAGTATTCGAGCTCACGTGACATTTTCACGTCGGTGTTATTTTAATAATTGTCCAGGCTACTAGTGAATTATGAAAATGATGATAATTCCACAGTTGCCTGTCAATTGTTCTTTCTGATTTGGACATTTTAATTTGTGAAAAAAAGCTTGTGGGAGGTTGCGTTAATTTGATTCAAGATAGAGTCATTCAAAATGAGTTGATTTGGTCAGAATTCTTTACGAGAAATTGACAACAAGATTAACCATTTTTTTACTTCTGTGATATGGTCGTGTAAAATGCCACATGACCTCAACCCCTAGAGGAAGGGAATTCTCCGAGTACCCCTCGACCTTCAAAATTCATCGGATATTTCCCTCAAGTGTCCCTGCGTACCAAGAAATGAGATGATTTTTCTGCAAAACTCATCCCTCTCGTTGCTATCGGGAGATATTCGATAATTTTGAAGGTCTCGGGGGATTACAACCGAAAATATTGTTCATTATGAAAGTAATGAGAATTGTCCAAAGGATATTATTGATTATTAAAGTAGTGGATAATATTGTTGGATTTAATGTTCAATGCGATGTTATTGATTAACAATAATATAATTATCTAAATTTTTTTATCTTTGATGAAGCAAAACCTGTAAGTTAGGGTTGTATGTTGTTAGGGTAAGAGTATGAATTGTGTGATATTATTTTCGAATTTTTGTTGCAGTACGTTAATGGCTGGCATTCTGCCATTTGGAGCAGTTTTCATTGAATTGTTCTTCATCCTTAATGCACTGTGGGAGAATCAGTTTTATTACCTGTTCGGCTTCCTCTTCCTCGTCTTCTGCATTCTCGTCATATCATGTTCACAGATATCCATCGTTATGGTTTATTTCCAGCTGTGTGGAGAAGTAAGAATGTTTTTTATTACTAATTTGTGAATGAGATGAGATGAGACAGCAATTCATGTTTAGATCATTTCATGAATATTTTGAAACGAAGAGGATGAAGAGATTTTGTCAAGAGATGTTTCTTTAATTCGAGACAGTCTCTACGAAGTAGTTTCTTAATAAATTTGCCTACACCATTTCCTCTCGGAGATATATACAAGATAACATAAAGTTGATTCCCATTGATCTCTTTTCAACTTTATATTTTTCTTTTGATTAATTATTTTGAGAATCATCTTGGAAACCCATAGATTTACAAGATTTTGCCAGAAGATCTTTTGTTATGGCTCGTGAAAGTAACTCTAAGGAAGGTCGTTTGACTAATTCTCTGTACATATTCCTTTTAAAGATATTTACAAAATAATATAAAATGTCTGCAAATGAGTGAAGAGGTTCAGAGAACAATATTCGAAGAGCCTTTCTATAACTATGAAAATTTATGGCGGGAAAAGTCTTGTTAAATATTTTGAACCTCTCCCTTTCGAAAATATTTGAAATAGACTTACGTGAAATAGATTTCACCTGGTCCCTCTTGATCTTCTCCTCCTTCTTTAACTGATTGTTTTAGAAATTTTCTTGCAAACTAAATGATCTGGTAGAATTTTCGACGAGATCTTTCCTTGTATTCCTTTAAGGGGTCTCCGCAGTACTTTTGGGTAAAATATGACAATGTGCTTGCGAATTAAATATATCAAATATTGATCAAAAATGTTAAAAAGGTATTTGTAAAAGGAATTCTAACTACTTTTATGGTTTCGTTCGTGTTTAATTAATTCTTCAAATTGCGCCTTAGGGGCGGGTGGGGTAAAATGGACACATTTGAGTTTTTTTAAAATGTTCATCACGTATTGAATTGCTCATGAAATGGAATAATTTTATTTTCCAATAGAAAGAACAATGATTTCTCTTTGTGATGAGCACAGACGGAGCTCAATTGATAAATCTTTTTCTGAGTTATGAATAATTTAAAAAAAAAATCAAAAGTGTCCATTTTACCCCATCCTCCCCTATACACAACCTTTATACACGCTACTTTGTCCCATACCCCTCACACTGTTGACAATGTGCTAGCCAGCAAAGGAAGCTAAATTGTTCTATATTAAGCCCTAAAAAATATGGGCACGAAGTCCCATTGAGTTTTATCGTTGATTTGTTCAATAAATTAATAATAAAACTACTATGGTGATGTCTGTCATTATCCAACATACGCCATGTTTGATGTCCCGTCTCTCTCGAAACTAACCTCACTAACTTGACTATTTCACACTCCACTCACCCGCGCGCCAACCGCAACTGAGGAGACACCCTTAAATTCCACATAAAAAGGATCCTTTCTTCCTCGCCCACTTTCTGATCACATTGAGTTTTCAATCAATGTGAAAATATCTACCAATTAATTCCCCTGAGCCCTTTCTTTCTGAAAACAGCATTCAATATCATCGAAAATCCTTTGTTGTACCTCTTGAAATTACCTCTAAGAGGCCTCTTGGCTAATTCTCTGAAACTATCAATTTTAAAAATATTTATGTCGCGCCGTGCAATAAGTCGAGTTTATCGCACGCTGCGCTTTGCGCAGCCTGCTCAAAACTCGACTTCTGCACGACTTGACATAAAATATTATAGAGCACTCGGTAATAAATTTCGTATTCAACGAATGTGTGTACAGACCTTGCCTTCGGCTCGGCCTGTAAACTACACATTCGTTGAAAACGAAATTTGTGCCCTTGTACTCTAATGTACTATTACAAACAAATCCATTATATAATTTTTCAGGATTACAGATGGTGGTGGAGAAGTTTCATAGTGGGTGGCGGTTCAGCAGTTTATGTACTAGCATATTCAGTATTCTACTTTATGACAAAACTCGAGATAACCGAATTAGTGCCAACACTGATGTACTTTGGTTACACAACACTCATGGTGCTTACCTTCTGGCTGTTGACTGGAACTATTGGATTTTTCGCTGCATATGCATTCATTCGAAAGATCTACGCAGCCGTCAAAATCGACTAGTCAAAATTACTGCGTCATGTTTGTTTTTAATTTTCAAATCAATCTCTGTCGTGAATCATGTCGAAAGTAAGTGGAGGCCAGAGAGAATCCAGCCGAATTATTTATTTTTTCGGTAACTTGGACAAGTCCAAATAAGAGAAATGAAGTAATATAGGGAGAGATAAGTTGAATATAATAGATAACAATTGAATGTCGGAGTTTAGGGACTTTGTTAACATTATATTTTGTAAAATAATAACTTTTTAAGAATAAATATTTGTATGTGTGCGATGACCAGATGAATTGGAAGTTCAGGGAGGGAGAATATGAGGTACAATATTCTAGGGATCTAGTATCTAATAACAAATTTAATCGAGATGAATTCTACAATGAGGTGATAAAACGTTATGGCTAAAATTTGACGAATTCGGTAATTTTGTATTTAGCTAAAAAATGAATATGTTCAGGAGAAAATGTCAAAACATTATTTTGAAAGATATAAAAATTTGAACAAAAAATGTCTGGCAATAATCTTTCCAACAATTGTATATTACGAAAACAACTGTAGTTAGCAAGATGCCAAAAATCCTGGTTAATGATGCATTTGTATTAATTACGAATTGTCTTAGCACAGAAAATCATGGGAAATTTTTTTGTACCTGACACAACTTTCTATAAAAAATATCGCTTGATATTCAACAAGATCTGAATAAACCATTGTTGTGCTGAGTTTTATCACTTCACTGGTGAAATAAATTTTTCGCATACTTGAGAGAGAATAATCGTGTCTGCATCGAGTACTTATTATTCTGATCATTTGAGAGTTGTGTAAAAGGAATTCAATCATTGGCTGAATGAGAATAAAAATATCTAGAATAAAGAATTTTCTTCGCCAACAATTATTTATTTTATGTACGCTGTCATGCTGTGGAGAGTGCTCGTCAATGATCATCTTGTTTTTCTCCATACTGTTGCACCGAGATTATTGTGTACAAAATTGAAGGAATAAAATATCGAGGACATTAAATCATATCAATAAAATATTTATCAGTGGAGTTTCAAGAAGTTGTGACGATTCATCCTTTGTTTTGATTTGATGAGTAAATAAATTACGATGAAAAAACCACCAAAGATGTAAATGGATATCACAATTGATTCTTCTGGCATGTAACATTTTGAGAGAGCATAGTTGTTAGGAATGAAGACACCCTGCAACAAAAATAATAGTTTCAACCCCTCAATAAATGACTTCATAAATACCTCTAATAATCAAAAAATAACGAGAGATTTTTCCCATGGTCAATTTTATGGTCTACAAAAAAGTATTGCAATTCTTCTCAAAACTAATTTCAAATATGTCAAATATTTGAATTATTGCATGCACGATAAAAACTTTATACAAGAAGCTTTCGTATCAAAAAATTTCATTGATTTTCTATTGAACTTCTGCTGAAATCTTATTAGTTTTTCGGTGACTGTTGGAGAACTGATTAGCTTCCCTTATTAGACAAAAATCAAGAGAATATGAGCGTTTTAAATTTTTTGCATTTCATTTTTTTCCCTCCTCATGAGAAAAATCGAGGAAAAAATCTAAGAAAATTTAGGTCGAGGAATTTCTATAGAAAATATCTTCATAGAATAAGTTACGTAAAAGCCCGCAGGAAAGCTGCACAATTTTCCAATACAATTAATAGAATTTTTAATCGAATAAAATCACTCTATAAAACTCTCAGTATATAAAAATTAATACCTACAATTTTCAGTATAAGTTCAATAGAGATCCGATAGAATTTTCTAGCGACTGGATTTTTGTTGAAGGTTGGAAAAGATTCTTGCAACTCGTCAAATCTCTAGAATACAAATCTTTTGACATCTTTCTCTGAACCAAACAGTTTCCGAGATGTGCACAAAATAATTAATATAAAACTTGTCCACTTTCCTACTTCTAAACGGCACGAATGCATTTGTCTTTGAAAATACTAGGTTTACAAACAATGTTAGAAGTTCTTTGCAGCCTATAAAATTTTCTACCGAAAATATTTTTGCACAGCTATTCGTCAACCTAGGGATTTCAGAGATATTTACAAAAAATCTCCATTGGTATCTACGAGTTCATCTGCGAAACTACTAGATTTATTTGAAAATGTCAGGAGCCCTTCCGCGTAGCATATCGAATCCTTCACAACAAAAACTGTTTTACATTTTTCTCCAACCCCAGAGATATTCACAGAATAATTCATATAAAAATTTCTCATTTTCCTATGAATTAAAAATTTTCCACACGGAGAGAAATATTCAATAAAAATTACGTATCTTTTCCATAATTCCGGAGTGAAATGTGGTTGTAGGAACTTTTACGGAACTGTCACGGAATTTTTTCAGAGCGTTCCGTAATTTTTATCTGAATCTCCGGTGAAAAATTACGATACCATCAATTAAATTTTCTGAGTCGATTCCGTAATGGGTGAGCGAATTGTGAGTTCCGTAATTTTTATTGAACATTTCTCTCCGTGCATTTTCCTATGAACTAGCGTATGGGGCGCGCTACGCGCGCCTTTACCCAGGGTATGGTTGTCTATGTTTCTTTTAGCACAAAGGTATGGTTCCGAGCAAATTCATGTCCGGTTCAATTTTATCTATTTGTTCTGACCTTTTTTACTTTTCATATTTGATTTACAAAAATAAAAAAATTATTCTTATTATTATTACTTTTATCGTCGATTTCACACTTTTCCTTTATTTCGTGATGAGTTTTTTTTTCCGTCAATTATTTAGGAATTATTTAGTCATCATTTTTTATTTAATGCTCTTCTACTGAAGTTGATGACTTATAGAAAAAAAATTAATTCAAAAATTCAAAAGAAACTAAAAAAACTTTTTTTAAAATACAACATCATATAATTTCTATATACAGGGTGTCCCATTTGAAACAATGCACCCAAATATCTTCTAAGGGGGGCAAGTGACAGGAAATTTTCAGGGACATAAGTTGTAGGGTTCCGAGGAGGACATTTGATGCATGCATTTTTTTGAGCTTTCAGGATCATACTTGCAAGCTGCAAGCATAAGGAGCTTTTTTTTAAATGGCAATCGCATTTTTTACCCCAATGAAACTTGTTCTCCTTGATGAGTTATTTTCAAATACCTCATCATTCATGTGAACTCCTTTAATTTTACTCGGAGAATGCGACGAAAATGAGTTCTGTTATCAAACTAAAGATTCAGACTTTTTTAGCGTGAATCATGTGAATTTAGCGTGAATTCATGTGAATCATAGCGAGAATGGCAACAGCTCATGGATCATCAGGATTAATACCTTGTTGTTGTGGTTGTTGTCGAAAAGTTCGTCCTCTCCTACAATTCCTTTCAATGTTCCGAATTACTGCATCTGTGGGATGACGTCGGCGATTAGGGTACCGTTCTCGATATGTCTGGGCAGCGGCTCGATAGACTCCGCGGCACTCTCCTAATATGAGTAAAATATCGACAATTTCACTCGCTGAATACATCGTGATGTGTTCAATGAAATTACAGGGATACTAACCCGATTCTGGTTGAATTTGAACTGTTTCGAATAGCAGAATCCTCGAGGTAATGGGGAATTCTTTGTTATTGTTTACATTTCATAACTACGGTTGGTAAATGGATTAGCAGAACAATTATCTACGCCAAGACGCGTCAAGGGTGTGTGAATCTTTAGTTTGATAACAGAACGCATTTTCGTCGCATTCTCCGAGTAAAATCGAAGGAGTTCACATGAATGATGAGGTATTAGAAAACTACTTATCAAGGAGAACAAGTTTGATTAGGGTAAAAAATGCGATTGCCATTTAAGAAACAGCTCCTTGTGCTTGCAGCTTGCAAATATGATCGTGAAAGCTCAAAAAAATGCATGCATCAAATGTCCTCCTCGGAACTCGACAACTTATGTCCCTGAAAATTTCCTCTCACTTGCCCCCCTTAGAAGATACTTGGGTGCATTGTTTCAAATGGGACACCCTGTATATATATATATATACAGGGTGTTTCAGAAGTACATGTACCTCTGAATACCCTAGGATCAGGGGGTGATTCTGAGCAGAAAAGTCCTCTTGCACTTTTTGATCAGACTCACCCCTAAAAAGTTATTGGCAATTAAGGGTGGGCCAATGGGGAGTGATTTTTAAGCGGGCGCACATAAATATGATATGCAGCATATGTCTGTGTGCCCGCCCCACCATTCTACGAGACAAAAGAGCGCAACGATATTGCTCTCTCTCTCTCTCTCTCTCTCTCTCTCTCTCTCTCTCTCTTCGCTGGAATGACGAAGAGGGGAGAATGAATGGGGGAACGTAATTCCCCCTCCACACGCAATGGAAGGACGATCAACCGATCGTCTTCCCATTGGTTACAACGTCGAGTGGCGCGGGGAACGCGCGTCTCAGTTGAAAATTCATCCCTCCCCCCGAATTATAGCTAAGGAATGAAACTTGTGTCACTTATTGAGTATTAAATGCTCAATTCAATGACA